ACGGCCCAAGAGGCCCCCCAGAGGCCTCCCAGACGGCCCAAGATGCCTCCAAGAGGTCCTCCAGGAGGGCCCGACGAGGCCAAAATCAAGGATGTTCCTTGGGTCTTTAAAAGATTTTGGAGTTTGCTTCTTCTCGACATTCCGACGGCTGAGGACGGCCCAAGAGGCCCCCAAGATCGCCCAAGAGACCCCCAAGTTGGCCCCATGACGGCCCAAGTGGCCTCCAAGATGGCCCCAAGAGGGCCCCACGACGGCCCAAGAGGCCTCCAACACGCCCAAGATGGCCTCCAAGACGCCCAAGATGGCCTCCAAGACGGCCCCGAAGCGCCCCAAGAGGGTCCCCCGTTGGCCCAGAAAGGCTCCCAAGACGGCTCCCGACGGCGTCGGACGTGCCAGGAACCCACCAAGATGGCCGAAGTTGGCTCGAAGCTGGCCCAAGACGGCCCACGAGGCCCCCAAGAGGTCCTCCAGGAGGGCCAGAACAGGCCAAAAACATTGAATGTCCTACGGTGTTTGACGGATTTTGACATTTCCTTCTTTTCAGCCTTCCGGCGGCCCGAGACGGCCCAAGAGCTCCCAAAGATCGCCGAAAGATCGCCCAAGAGGCCTCCAAGATGGCCCCAGAACGGCCCAAGAGGGCTCCAGAACGGCCCAAGAGGGCTCCAAGAGGCCCCCAAGACGGCACAGGACGCCTTTAAGACGCCCAAGATGGCCTCCAAGACGGCCCTGGAACATTCCAAGAGCGCCCCAAGTCGGCCCATAGAGGCGCCCCAAACGGCTTCCGACGGCGTCAGACGGACCAGGAGCCCACCAAGACGGCCGAACATGGCCCCAAGATGGCCCAAGACGGCCCAAGAGGCCTCCAAGAGGGCCTCCAGGAAGGCCTGAAAAAGGCCAAAGCGTTGATTTCCTATGGTTTTTGAAGGACTGTGGCATTTGCTTTTTGTTCTGCTTTCCGACGGCCAGAGACGGCCCTAGTGCCCCCAAAGATCGCCCACGAGGCCCAAGACACGGCCCAAAGAGGCCCCCAATACGGCCCAAGAGGCCTCCAAGACGCTCAAGATGGCCTCCAAGACCGCCCAAGAGCCCTCCAAGACGTCCTCCAAGAAGGCCCGAAAGGGTCCAAATGGCCTCCAGACGGCGGCCAAGATGACCTTCAAGATGCCCACGTGTTCCCCGAAGGCTTTCCAAACCGATTCGGGGAACACATGGTCCGATAGCTTGGCAGGTCTGGCCTCAACGTTCGGCCACATAGGCGCTTCCAAAAAGGCAGGGGGCGGCGGTGATTCGCCGTAGGCGTCTTCGATCCGCCGCCCCTTGTCGATTCATCGCAGGGGTGCCTGGCGTGCCAGATGATTTCGGTTTTGGTGTTGGTTCTTTTCCAAAAGAACTTCCCCTTGGGCTCCGGCGCGTCCCGCCGGGGTCCCGGAAAGATCTTCCAGACCCAGCTCCAAAGGGTTTTTCCTGCTCCAGACGTCTGCAAGACGGCCTCCAAGACGGCTAAGATGGCCCCAAGATGCCTCCAAGACGGCCCAAGATGCACCCAAGACGGCTTCAGATAGCCTCAAGATGGCCCAAGACGGCCCAAGAGGCTCCCAAGAGGCCTCCAAGACAGCCCAAGAGGCCTCCAAGAGATCCTCCAGGAGGGCCCGAAGAGGCCAAAATCATTGATTTTCCTTAATTAGGTGTTTGAAGGACTTTTTTGCATTTGCTCCATTTTGGCTTTCCGACGACCCAAGACGGCCCAAGAGGCCCCCAACATCGCCCCCAGAGCGCCTAGAGGCCTCCAAGATGGCCTCAGGACTGCCCAAGAGGCCCCCAAGACGGGCCCAAGAGGGCACCAAGACGCCCCTCAGAGGCCTCCAAGACGCCCAAGATTACCTCTAAGACGGCCCTGGAGCACCCCAAGAGGGACCCAAGTCGGCCCAGAGAGGCCCCTGGCGTCAGACGGGCCAGGAGCCCACCAAGATGGCCAAAGTTGGCTCGAAGCTGGCCCAAGACGGCCCAAGAGGCCTCCAAGAGGTCCTCCAGGAGGGCCAGAAGAGGCCAAGATCATTGATTGTCCTTAGGTTTTTGAAGGATTTTGACATTTGCTTCTTTTCGGCCTTCCGGCGGCCCGAGACGGCCCAAGAGCCACCCAAGATCGCCCAAGAGGCCTCCAAGAAGGCCCTAGAACGGCCCAAGAAGCCCCCAAGACGGCCCAGGAGGCTTTTGAGACGCCCAAGATGGCCTCCAAGACGGCCCTGGAACATTCCAAGAGGGCCCCAAGTCGGCCCAGAGAGGCCCCCCAAACGGCTTCCGACGGCGTCAGACGGGCCAGGAGCCCACCAAGACGGCCCAAGAGGCCCCCAAGAGGCTGCCAATACGACCAAAGAGGCCTCCAAGAGGTCCTCCAGGGGAAGGCCCGAAGAGGCAGAAATCATTGATTTTCCTTAGGTGTTTGAAAGATTGTGGCATTTTCTTTTTTCGGCCTTCCGACTGCCCGAGACGGCCCGTGGCCCCCGAAGATCGCCCAAGAGGCCTCCAGTATGGCCCCAGAACGGCCCAAGAGGCCCCCAAGACGGCCCAAGAGGCCACCAAGACGCCCAAGATGACCTCCAAGACGGCCCTGGAGCACCCCAAGAGGGCCCCAAGTCGGCCCAGAGAGGCCCCCAAGACGGCGTCCGACGGCGTCAGACGGGCCAGGAGTCCACCAAGACAGCCAAAGAGGCCACCAAGAAGCCCCCAAGAAGGCCAAAGAGCCCACCAAGACGGCCGAAAGATCCAAGAGGCTCCCAGGAAGCTCCCAGGAGGCCACAAGAGTGTCCCCAGAGGCTCCCAACATGCCCCCTCCTCCTCCTCCTCCTCCTCCTCCTCCTCCTCCTCCTGCTCCTCCAACTCCTCCTCCGCATCCTCTTGATCTTCCCCGCCATCCTCCCCCAAGTGTTTCCCGAAGGCTTTCCACAACGGTTGGGGGAACACATGGCCCGATACCTTGGCAGAGGTTTTGCCACAACGCTCGGCCACATGGTCGATTATAGAAGGCGGGGGGCGGCGGTGATTCGCCGTAAGCGTCTTCGATCCGCCGCCCCCTGTCGATTCATCACAGCGGTGCAAGGCGTGCCGAATCCTTTCGCTGTTGGTTTTGGTTCTTTTTCCAAAAGAACTCCCACTGGGGTTTCGGCATCGTTTGCCGGGGTCCCGGAATGGCCCGGAAAGAGTGGTTCCAACAGTTTTTCCTGCTCCAGATGGCTCCAAGATGGCTTCCAAGATGGCCTCCAGGTTCGCCCAAGATGGTCCAAGATGGCCTCCAAGACGACCCAGCAGAGTCCAAGATGCCTCCAAGTTCGCACAAGAAAGCTCTCAGACGGCCCAAGACGGCCAAAGAGGCCTCCAAGAGGCCTCCAAGACGGCCCCCGAGGCCTCCAAGAGGTCCTCCACGAGAGGCCGAAGAGGTCAAAATCAATGTTTTTCTTCGGTTTTTTTATGGATTCTGGCTTTTGTTATTTTCAAGCCTTCCGACGGCTCACGACGGCCCAAGGAGCCCGAAAGATCGCCCCCAGAGCGCCCAAGAGGCCTCCAAGATAGCCCTATCATGGCCCAAGAGGCCCCCAAGACGGCCCCAAGAGGGCGCCAAGACGGCTCCAGCGGCCTCCAAGACGCTCAAGACGGTCTCCAAGACGGCCTCCAAGATGCTTCCAACACGGTCAAGATGAGCTTCAAGACTGCCAAGATGGCCGCTAAGACGGCCAAGATGGCCCAAGATGGGCCCTAGAGGTTCCAAGATTGCCCCAAAGGAGTCCAAGAGGTACTCCAAAAGGCCCGAGAGAGCCACAATCTTCAATTTTCCTTAGGTGTTTGAAGGATGTTTGGCAGTTTCTTCTTTTCAACTCTCCGACGTCCCATGACGGCCCAAGAGGCCCCCAACATCGCCCCACGAGCGCCCAAGAGGCCTCCAAGATGGCCCCATGACAGGCCAAGAGGCCCCCGAGAGGGCCCCAACAAGACCCCAAGACGGCCCAAGAGGCCCCTAAGACGCCCAAGATGGCCTCCAAGACAGCCAAGATGGCCTCCAAGATACCTCCAAGACGGCCAAGAAGGCCTCCAAGACGGCGAAGATGGCCGAAGATGCACCCACGACAACCCCAGATGGCCTGAAGGCCCGCCAGAGGCCTCCAAGACGGCCCAAGACCCCTCCAAGACGTCCTCCAGGAAGCCCGAAAGCTCGGAAACCACCTGGTCCGATAGCTGCCCGACTCCGTGTTCCCCGAAGGCTTTCGAAACCCACTCGGGGAACGCGTGGCCCGACAGCGTTGCCAAGCTCAAACCCAACTTTCGGCCACGCAGGCGCTTCCGTAAAGGCAGGAGGCGGCGGTGATTTGCCGTAGGCGTCTTCGATAACGCCAACGTTTCAATTTGCCCTGATGACTCCTATACGCCCCCGCATGCTGTTCCTAGATGCGCCAAGGCAGCGCCGAGACGCACCGGCGCGACTCTGTGATACCCCATTCTGATAGAGAGGGGACCAGCGGCAGGGGGCGAAGCCCTTACGGATATGAATGATGATGACGATGACGATGACGATGACGATGACGTTGACGATGACGATGGTGATGGTGATGATGCTGCTGATGATGATGTTGGCACTGATGATGATGATGATACTGATGATGATGGTGATGATGATGTTGATGATGAATATGATTCGGATGATGATGCTGACAATGGTGATGGCGATGATGATGCTGATGATGGTAATGGTTATGAGGAGGAGTAGTAGGAGAAGGAGGATGATGATGGTGATGACGAGGATGATGTTGTTGATAATGCGATTGGCAATCGTAAGGATGATGATGAACATGATCATCGCCAATGGGTTGTCCCGAACCGGATCGGGATCGGATCGGCGTGCGCGACTCTGGCGGGCCCCGGCCGATGCAAGTGAAATGGGCGGATGCTGGTGAATCGCAGCCCCAAATGGCGAATCGAATCGCTTCGAATCGGATCGGAGGTGGCCATGCCTGCGACTCCTCGACCCAGGCGCTCGTGGATATGGCGTGCTGAGCGACCTCGCGGTTGGCTGCGATGGCCTCGCGGTGCGTGCTCGCGTCCTTCGGCAAAGGCCGCCCAGGGGGGGCGGGTATAGCAGAATTCGTTTCCCAACCATCCTTTTTGGTCCTTGTTTTGAAGAGACGGCGTCCCGCGTTCCCGCATCCCGCCTCCTTCCTTCCCCTCCTCCTTCCTCCCATCCGCCTCGACAGCTCCCTGCGTTTCACCCACCGACGACAGCGCTTCGTGGCCCCATAGGGGGCTCCACCGAAGGCTCCAGTGGCACAGGCCGCATGCGTCACCGCCACCCAAGACAGCGCTTCGTGGTCCAATAATAAGGAGCTCCACCGAATGATCCAGTGGCACAGGCCGCATGTGTCACAGCCACCCAGGACAGCGCTTCGTGGCCCCAGAGGGAGCTCTACCGAAGGCTCCAATGGCTCATGCCGCATGCGTCACCGCCACCCAGGACAGCGCTTCGTGGCCCCATAGGGAGCTCCACCGAAGGCTCCAGTGGCACAAGCCGCATGCGTCAACGCCATCCACGCAGGACAAAGTTCCGTGGCCCCATAGGGAGCTCCTCCGAAGGCTCTAGTGGCACAGGTGCGTCACCGCCACCCAGGACAACGTTTCGTGGTCCCATAGGGAGCTCCACCGGAGGCTCCAGTGGCACAGGCCGCATACGTCAACGCCATCCAGGACAACGCCCCGTGGCCCCATAGAGAGCTCCGCCGAAGGCTCCAGTGGCACAGGCCGCGTGCGTCACCGCCACCCACGACAGCGCTTCGTGGCCCCATAATAAGGAGCTCCACCGACTGCTCCAGTGGTACAGGCCGCATGCGTCACCGCCACCCAGGACAGCGCTTCGTGGCCCCATAGGGAGCTCCTCCACCGAAGATTCCAATGGCTCATGCCGCATGCGTCACCGCCACCCAGGACAGCGCTTCGTGGCCCCATAGGGAGCTCCACCGAAGGCTCCAGTGGCACAGGCCACATGCGACACCGCCACCAAGGACAACGCTTCTTGGCCCCATAGGGAGCTCCACCGAACGCTCCAGTGGCACAGGCCGCATGCGCCACCGCCACCCACGACAGCGCTTCGTGGCCCCATAGGGAGCTCCACCGAAGGCTCCAGTGGTTCAGGCCGCACACGTCAACGCCATCCAGGACAGCGCTCCGTGGCCCCATAGAGAGCTCCACCGAAGGCTCTAGTGGCACAGGCCGCACACGTCAACGCCACCCAAAACAGCGCTTCATGGCCCCGTATGGGGGTTCCACCGAAGGCTCCAGTGGCGCAGGCCGCATGCGTCACCGCCACCCAGGACAGCGTGTCGTGGCCCTAGAGGGAGCTCCGCCGAAGGCTCCAGTGGCACAGTCCGCATGCGTCACCGCCACCCACAACTGCGCTTCGTGGCCCCATAGGGAGCTCCACAGAATGCTCCAATGGCTCATGCCGCATGCGTCACCGCCGCCCAGGACAACGCTTTGTGGCCCCGTAGGGAGCTCCACCAAATGCTCCAATGGCTCATGCCGCATGCGTCACCGCCACCCAAGACAGCACTTCGTGGCCCCATAGGGAGCTCCACCGAAGGCTCCACAGGCACAGGCCACACACGTCAACGCCATCCAGGACAACGCTCCGTGGCCCCATAGAGAGTTCCACCGAAGGCTCTAGTGGTACAGGCCGTATGCGTCACCGCCACCCAGGACAGCGTTCCGTGGCCCCCTAGGGAGCTCCACCGAAGGCTCCAGTGGCACAGGCCGCATGCGTCACCGCCACCCAGAACAGCGCTTCGTGGTCCTATAGGGAACTCCACCGAACGCTCCAGTGGCACAGGCCGCATGCGTCACCGCCACCCACGACAGCGCTTCGTGGCCCCATAGGGAGCTCCTCCACCGAAGGCTCCAGAGGCACAGGCCGCATACGTCAACGCCATCCAGGACAACGTTCCGTGGCCCCATAGAGAGTTCCGCCGAAGGCTCCAATGGCACAGGCCGCATGCGTCATCGCACCGCCCTGGGACCATGCAGCGTGACGGACTCCTCGGCGCACCTCCTCAACCCTGCATTGTCACTGGTTGGGCAATCACCTGGCTGAGGCCATCGCTGCTGAACTGTGGCTGCCATCTTTTCAACGTGAGTAGCTCCATCGTCCTGACAAAAGGCGGCGCGTCCGATCACAAGAAAAACGACCACATCGTGCCGGCTCCAAACGCGAGCAACGGACGCCAACGCCAAGAGCACATACTCAGTCATGGGCAAGGCCCGCTCAGGAGCCTATGTCATCTGCCAGGCCTTAGTTTAGCAAGCCCCAAGCGCTGTGGAACACCCGCTTGCAGCGCAAGAGAAACTGCACAGCCGAGATGGTCGTTCCAGCATCTCCCGTGGGACGGCCATTGGCCCGCACCGCCTCGATCTATGCGCAAATATCAAGAAACAGCTGCTCCATGTCAATGGACACCTGCACGCCGTGGGCCTGCACCCAGGACGTACAGGCCTGTACCATCTGAGAATATCAGCGCAAAGTACGAGGTTGAAGAAGTATGTGCGATGGCCTATTAAACTCTCGTCGAACACGAACACGGGACACCATATCAAGCGGGAACTCGACGCGACGCTTCCGAAGTGTCACGACTGCGATGCCACCCGCCCGACCTGTAGGGATCGTCGGCGGGATTCCTGTCCGTTACGGTGTGCCCGTATATCCGCCGCACTCACGCTGTCATGACCAGTGCAGAAATCCTCTTGCCAGCAGCGTTGAGCAAATGGGAGGACGAGCGCCCTCTAGATATAACACCAAGTCCAACTTGCGAATCCATCAAGTGAGCAAACTCCGTACATGGTTGATGACTGACACGAAATCACCAGCGAAGGGCAGCCAGCGTGCTGAAGACCTGGAGCGCCGTGATGTGGCTCTTCCAGCGCCACTTCCAGACCAGCACCGTCCTCCAAGTCAACCTTGCCACGCTGATCAGGCGGCAAGGCCAGAAGTCTGGACGCATGACATACAGCGTGTCAAGGCGAACGTCTGAGCCTCTCACCTCGGCCCTGCGGACGAGCTTCTCGACGATCTGAACGGTAAGATCTGATCGCTCCTCGGGGTCTTGCAGGTTACCGAGCCAGGCGAACACCCCGTCGTCGCAGTCCTTCGCCATCGGGACCGCCCCCATCAGCAGCGTCGAACCCACCACCGGTGGCCCGCAGCTCCTCGATGGAGGGGGCGGCATTTAGGTACCCCTGGCGACGAGCTTCATGACCCCAAATCCAGGCCACCACGCCTCACTGGATAAAATTCTCCAGCAGCGCGCACCGAACCATCTCCATCTCCTGCGTCTTGCGACACCTTGTGGCCCTCGCTGTGGACGTGTGCCGTGGCAGGAAATACATCAGCATCTCCCTCTCGAAGGAGCCGGCGGGCCCCAGCTCACGACCCCGCCAGCGCAGGCAATGCACGTCGCGAAACTGGTGCGGCGCGTGGCAGAAGCGATGCCGCCGTCATCGGTCCAGCTCCATCTCGCTGAACAGGCTCACGCTCTTCGGTATGGCCCCCGCATGCCACAGACGGCTTCTTGGAAGGCCAAATGGCTTCTGAGAAACCCCGCCGCCTTCCGAGAAAACCTGCACCCCCCATGATCATCGTCGTCTGCTTTCAAATCGCAACTCTCGGGTCTCCGACGCCCGGTTCGGGACGATCATGGGCACACCCGGAGCGCTCTCGGCGAGGCGCAGCTGCAGGAGCGCATCTCGAGGCTGGCAACAAAACGCCCTCGAACCTCGAACCCGACACTCCCAAACTGCCCCCCTCGGCGCGCCGCTGATCAGCACGCCTGGAGCAGCAACGCGTCGGCGAGAAGGCCGTGGCCAGCAGGCCGCTGCCGCGAGAGGCGCGCGGCCCACCGCGCAGACAGAGCAGCAACGCGGGCGCTCGAAGGATGTTGCAGGCAGGTCTTCCCCGGGAGCCGCAGGGCCCTCCCTCTCTCCCTGCCCTCCTCGTCCTCCCTCTCCTCCTCCTCTTCCTTCCTTCCTTCCTCCCTTCCTTGCTTCCTCCTTCCTTCTTTCCTTCCTTCCTTCCTTCCTCCTCGTCCTCGTCCTCGTCCTCGTCCTCGTCCTCATGCGTATCCTCGTGCGTGTCCTCCTCCTCCGCATCCTCCTCCTCCTCCCTCCCCAACGTGTCCTTCACCTGCCCCCCCTCTCCCTCCGCCCCGCTCCCCCCTCCTCTCCTCCATCCTTGGAACCATTCCCGCTGCCTACCCTCTCTTCCCCCCTTCTCCTCCCCCAGTAGTTGGTCGGTCCCCTGGGTTGGCTGCGATGTCCTGCTCGAGGTGTAGCAATTTGGAGAGATATGATCGTGCACCGACGTGTGATACGGTGGTGAGGAGGGGAGACATGGTGCGACTGTTTCCAGCTAGGTTAACGTCGGCCCACGGTGCCAATTTATGCACGCTGTGTGCGACAATGGTCTCGAGCGCGAGGGATGCGGCAAGGGGCGCCGATCCTCTGATGCCGTGGCCTTCGCCGTGTCTGCCCACCGGTCGTAGCGGCGGGAGCGGTGCTCCTCGGTGATGCGGCATCTCTCCACGGAGCCCTGCGATGGGGAGTATCTTCTAATCCTCCTCATCCTGGTCCTTCCGTTGTTGCTTATATTCGATGTTGTCCAGCTTCCTCCGCCTCCTCCTCCTCCTCCTCCTTCTCCATAGGTTGCTCCCCCTCCTGCACCTCACCCTTTCCCCTATTGCTGTTGTTGCTGTCGTTGCCAATATTCCTCTGAATCCTCCTGTTGTTGCGCGCCCTCCCGCTGATGGTTCATCAGTTCTCCTTTGTATCCTGTTCTCTCGCCTTCATGAGTCAAGGATGATTAGGGCTGATCCCAAGCACTGGTGCAATTCGTTGCTTCTCAATTCAGATGAACCCCTTTGCCCAGGATGGCGTTGATGCTCAAACTATAGTCGGAATGTTGGTCACAACGCACTGCGGCTGGCGCCTGATGCATCCCAAGAAGAGCTTGAACAATATCTCCCTCGCCCGAGACTTCGTGACACGTTCTGGAAGAATCGGGCCTTCGCCGCTGACAAATGGCGCTCTCGCCTGGGCCTTGCAAACCATTCTAAAAACGTGCCTTCTCACACGGACACGCGCACAAGTGCTCAACACAAGCGCCTGTATGAGCTCGCGCGCTGCGGGTAGTCCACCAGTGGCGAGAACAAAAATGCGGACACTCCTCCACCAATGGTCCGTAGTGGGCACCCTACTCCGTCGTCCGACCTCTTCCCTCGTCCCTCATCGCTACCCTCCCGTCGCCGTCCTCCCCTCTCGACTCCTCCTCCTCCTCCTCCTCCTTTACCTTCCCGGGAGGCCACCAACCGTATAACCTCGGCCACTTCCTCATTCCATCGCCGAGCATGCTGGCCTCCTCAGAAGCCATTGCACATGCATGAAAGCTGCCACGCCTGACACTCGCGAGTGGACATCGGGGTCGAGTAGGAGATCGACTATAAAATCCTGTTGCCCCAGAAATATGTTCTCTCGTCGACTCTACAAGACACTCTACGCACTCTTCGTAGATTCGACGAAACATGAACGCTGTCGTAACTCGATGCTGTGGTCGATGCCCTTCTCGAAGGGGGGGCCGACGGTGGCTCTGGGGGGTCCTCGCGGGCCTGCGGGGCAGCGAAGGCGTGGAGGCAATGCGGTCTCCCCCTCCCCCCCCTGCGCCGCTCTCACGGGGCGACTCCTCAGGAGGTGTGACGCTGGGGCTGTCTTGGGACGAGCTTTGGGGCCTCGTGGGCCGTCTTGGGCCCTTCTGGGCCCGAAAAGGTGAGAACCCAGAAAGCCTCGAAACACCACAACGAAATCAAGGCGTTTGGCCTCCTGAGGCCCTCTCGAGGGCCCTCTTGAGCTTTCCCGATCGAAGTAAGCGTAGCACCACCGCGGCAACACCACGACGCCGCATCGCACACGAGTGCCACCCGCTCTGTGGGACCACTCCTAAGCTGGCGCGTTCCACGAACCAACGCGCGCCACTACCACGACTGTTGGTGCTGCTACGGACACTGCTGCTGCTGGTCCAGCCTGCTCCTTGAGCCGCTGCATCTCCACGCAAGCTGCAACCTCTACCTCTTTGATGCGCGCGAAATATCCCGCCACGCTGGTAGGGTCCCTCCCCTCCAGATATGGATGGGACAACTGAGCAGATCAAGCGGAGAAAGAAATGACTTCAAACTTGCACCGCGATATCCTGCAGACTGAGTCCCCTGGAACGCCCGCTCCGCCCTCCTGCCTGTCCGAGCCACAATCGCAGAGATGCCCAAGACGCCTAGACCGTGGAAAGCATGGTCCTCGGTGGTCACCTGTTTGCCCTCCCCTGGCTCTTTCTCGTCAACTTCCCTGGACACATCTTCGTCGGCTAACTGGCAGAAAGGCACGCACTGTGCAACACTGGCCGACAGACTTCTGTCTGGCCTAAGCAAGTGAAGTTACGGTCATTATCGCTGGCCCGCGGGATCCCAGAGAGAAGCTGGGAGAAGAAGCGGCAGCAGCATATAAAAGCCAAAGTATATTCACCACACTCCAGAGACGCATTGCCACATCGCCAAAGACTCATCGGCACTGCAGGTCGCTGCTGGGCAAGGAGTTCGATGCTTCGTGAGCGACGCAATCATAAAAAACTGAGCTGAATAATTGCTGGTCGGCTACTGGAAGGAACACGGAGCGGAGTCAGGATGCAGGGGGTGGGGATGATGAGGCGCAAGCGAATCTCGGCCTCCCAGCGCCTGAACGTTCCAAGTCCTACCGCCAAGAGAGACCACGTGATCAGACATGAAACCCGCCTGCTGCTCCTCCTAGGCATCCCCGTGGTCATGTGCTTTTTTCTTGCCCCTCCTCCCTTCTCCCAATGTGTCCTTTTTCTCTGGCCCCTTCCCCCTAAACATGTGAAGCGCCCAGAAAAACGAGGGGGGGCAGGACACCGAACTCTCAAACTAGGAGGGAGGGTCCGCAGGGAGGGGATCGAACCGTCCCCGCACCCGCCCAACCGAATAAAATCCGACCAGTGTTCGATCAAGCTCTAATGAAATTACACTGCAGCTGGATCCAACGTGACTAGCGTCCTAGCTGGCCTCAGTCCAATGCTAATATAACCTCACTATGGCTGGATGCAGCTCTATTTGAATCCTACCGAGGCTCAATCCAGCTCTAATAGCCTCATACGATCAGTGGATCAAACTGTAATAGCATCCTAATCGGGATCGCTCCGACTGACTCCTACTAAGGCTCGATCCGCCTCTAATAGCATCCGGATCTACTTCGACATAGTTATGATGGAATCGTGCTGAAACGTCGTCCTCGTCGTCGCTGACCGACGGAGACGACGGCGAGCGCTGGCGTCAGTTGCCGCTGGGGAGGGGAAACCGCCCCCACCCCCCGGTTCGACCCCCCTGCAATGCAGGGCCATCCGGCCCCTCCTTGGTACGACCCCCCTTTGACATCATCATCATCATCATCATCATCATCATCATCATCATCATCATCATCATCATCATCATCAGCACCAGCATCAGCATCAGCATCAGCATCAGCATCATCATCATCATCATCATCATCATCATCATCATCATCATCACCAACATTATCATAATCATCATCACAATCATGACGATTCTCATCAGCATCATCATCAACATCATCATCGGCATCTTCATCATCATATCATCGTCATCCTCACGATAATCACCAACTGTCATCACCCTTGCATCCTCATCAACGCTATCATCACCACCATCATGATCACTATCTGTCGTGGTTATCACTGTCATCCACATCATCGTATCAGCATCGTCGTCATCATCATCGCCAGCATCGTCACCATCGTCAGCATCATCATCATAATCTTTATACAAACAACATAACCATCATCAACATCATCATCATAAGCATCCCCATCATGCCCACAACCATCAACATCATCACACTCATCATCCGTATCATGATCATCGTCGTCGTGGTCGTTTTCATTGTCGTCGGCGCCATCCTCATTTTCATCATCGTCATCATCATCAGCAACATCGTACTCATTTAATCCGCATCGTAATCATAAACACCATTGTCATCATCATCACCATCATCAGTACCACCATCACCACCATCATGATCGTCGTCATCATCATCATCGTCATTATCCTCATCCTCATCCCATTCATGCCCACCATCATCATCACCATCATCACAATCGTCGCACCATCACTATCATTATCATCATCCCATTCGTCCGCCCATTCCTCATCATTTCCCCTCTTCCTTCATCCATCCCGATGGGTTGATATTGAATCTGGATGTTCAATATAATAATATTGTCGCCAAGGTTCATCGTCACCCGGCGTACCACATAATCCCATTGAGGGACATCCTTGGGAGACTGGACGTAAGTCCGAGCTCCTCCTCCCCCTTCTTTTCTTCCTCTTCCTCCTCCTCTCTCCGCTCTTCCTCACAACGAGAACGGCTGCCCTCCATCCGCTCCTACACAACCATGAGCATGTCAACTTGACTGGGCGTCGTTTCCAGACGGGCTGGCGGGTGCGCGCATTCAACCATGCAGAACGTATGTGGACACATAGATCCCAGACGTGGCCGCATCAGTGGCATTACTGGCCTAGCGGAACGTATGTGGACACAACAAATCAAACCATTCGCATTTCTCATACACTTCCCTGGGCTCAGCTGGGGGTCGCTTCTGGATGGACTGGCGGGTGCGCGCATTCCGCCTGGCAGAAGGTGCATGGGCAGAAGGGTGCAAAACGTATGTGGACACAGAGGTGACACAGCCAACCTAATTGAACGCATGTGGACACAAAGGTGGCGATGCGCGCGTTCAATCTGGCAGAGTGCAGGCGGACATATGTGTAAACTCCGGCATGTAGTCCCACCAGCCCTGTAGGGCGTGGGTGGTTTAGCGGGCTGCTTCATCCAAGTCCACCGCCACCTTCGGGGAGGGATTTATGCCTCCCCCTACCTTCTGCTCCTGGGTCTGGAGGTGGGGTGGGGGGGGCAGGTGTCAAAGGGTTCTTGTTCAGAGGGATGTTTTGTTAAACTACGCTGACGCTACTAAGGTTTTGACCAAATGTTGGTACACTGTTTGGCCTCTTGGAGGGGGGGGGGCGTAATTGAGCTCCCATCATTTGATCGATCTCTTCGAACGTAGCCCCCGAGGCTCCCAGGGGTGCCCCAAGATGGCCCCAAGAGGTACCCAGGAGGCCCTGCGAGGCACCCGAGAGTCCCCTAGGATGCCCCCAAGGGGCTTTTAAGAAAACCCCAGGAGGCCCCAAGGGGCCCCAAGAGGCACCCAAGACGCCCCAAGGGGCCTCGGCGAAAAGGCACACATCATGTATTCGACCGAGATGCTGGCCACATGTTGGCCTCCTGGGGGAGGGGGCCGCTGAGTATGGAGCCCTCCATCCTCTGATCGATCTCCTCCAAGATGGCTTCAAGATGGCCCCGAAGGCCCCCCGAAGGCTTCCAAGGGTGCCCGAAGACAGCCCCAAAAGGTACCCGGGATGCCCCCCAAAAGACCCAAATATATCCCCAATGTGCCCCCAGTGGGCTCCCAAAAGCCCCCCAAGAGGCCCCCCAGACGCACCCAAAAGGCCTCGGCGAAGAGGCCAACATCATTCATGGCACAACGGGTTTGGCCACATGTTGGCCTCTTTTGGGGGTCTAAGTAAGAGCCCCCTTGCTTTGATCGATCTCTTCCAAAAGGGCCCCCCCCAAAAAGCTCCCAAGGGTGCCCCAAGACGGCCAGAAGAGGTGCCCAAGAAACCCCACGAGGCCCCAAAGCTACCCCCGAAGAGGCTCCCAATAGACCTCCAACAGGCCCCGCAAGGTACACAAGACGCCTCAATAGGCCCCCACGACTGCCACAAGACCCCCAAGACGCCCCAAAAGGACTCCAGGAAACTATCGAGTATAATCCGGCAAGTCCCCGAGGGGCATCCAGAAGACCTCAGGCTTTTCTGCTCAACCTCCTCCTTTTGTTCCTCATCCGCCTGTTCTGCCTCCTTCCTCCTCCCACCCCCCCTCACCCTCTCCATCCTCCTCGCTCCTCCTCCCCCTCCTCCTCCCCTCCTCCTCCTCCTCCTCCTCCTCCTCCTCCTCCTCCTCTTCCTCCGTCCTCCTCCTCCTCCTCCTCCTCCTCTCTCCTCTCTCCTCTCTCCTCTCTCCTCTCTCTCCTCTCTCCTCTCTCCTCCTCCTCTCTCCTCCTCTCTCCTCCTCCTCCTCCTCCTCCTCCTCCTCTCCTCTTCCTCCTCCCTTCCTCCTCCTCCTCTTCCTCCTCTTCCGATTCCTGCTCGATCCTCCCCATATCGGGGCACGACGCACCACGCAATGTTTAATACCAGCCCTTTGGGCGTGAGTGGTTTAGAGAGCCCGCTCTGTTCTCAACCCCCCTTCTTCCCCTTCGGGGAGGGGTTTACCCCTCCCCCTACCCCCTCCCCCTGGGCCTGGAGAGGGCGCCCCGCGGGTCGTTGGAAGGGGTCTTTTTCGACTCCTGGGAGGGCTAAAAAACGACACCCCTCACGAGGACTCTGGCCCCGACGGGGGGAGGCAGAAAAGTGCTCCCCTCTTCTTTGAAGCCAAAATCATTAATTTTACTACGATGGTGGCCCCATTTTGGCCTTCTGAGGGGGCAGCGCTAATTAAAGCTCCCCTCTTCTTTCAAGCCCAAATCACTGATGTTACCAAGGTTTTGGCCCCATTTTGGCCATCTGAAGGGGCAACGCTAATTAAAGCTCCCCTCTTTTTTGATCGATTTCCTCCAAGATGGCCCCAAGAAGCGCCCAGGAGGCACCAAGAGGCCCCAAGATGGCCCAAGAGGCCCCCAGGAGGCCCCCAAGAGGATCCCAAACGGCCCAAAGAGGCCCCCCCGAGGCACCCAAGACGCCGAAAAGCCCATCAGGACGACCCTCTACTCGCCTGGGCGTCGTTTCTGGACGGGCAGGAGGAGGGGCCCGAACGACTCACACCAGGACGAGGGGCCCGAACAACTCACACCACGAGAAACCCGAACGACTCACACCAGGACGAAGAGCCCGAACGACTCACACCACGAAGAGCCCGAACGACTCACACCAGGAAAAAGGGCCCGAACGACTCACACCAGGACGAGAAGCC